TTAAGACTTGTGGACTTCAACTCCCAGAATTCCTCAGCCAGCAAAGCTGGCTGAGGAATTCTGGGAGTTGAAGTCCACAAGTCTTAAAGTTGCCAAGGTTGGACACCCCTGGTCTAGATAAATTCCTGCAGTTTTCTTAACAAGATTTTGGAGGTGGTTGGCTTCATGCCTAAGGCAGGACCAGAACTCCTAGCTCCAACTACACCAAACTGGCTCTAGTTTACTGTTATTTGAGGTCAAATTCCTGCTTAAACAGGAAGTCCTCTCACCTTTGCTCATTAACATTTTAATACAGCTGAAGCTCTTTGAAAATAAAATAAAGGCCAGTGAGAAGTTTACATATACAGATAGTCCTTGACTTACAACCATTCCTTTAGTTCGAAGCTACAACCACCACTGAAAAAAGTGACTTATGACCAGTTTTCACACTTATAACCATAGCGACATCCCCATGATCAAAATGTGAATGCTTGGCAGCTAGTGTGTACTTATGACTACTGCAGTGTCCCGGGGGCACGTAATAGCTTTTTGCAGCCTTCTAACAAGCAGAGTCCATGGGGAAGCCGGATTCATTTAACGACCATGTTATTAATGAACAACAGCCGTCATTTTAACAACTGTGGCAACAACAACAAAAATGTCAGAAAATGGGGCAAAACTCACTTAGCAATTGCTTTGCTTAGCAAAGGAAATTTTGGGCTCAATTGTGGTTGTAAGTTGAGGACTATCTGTACATTCTGAGTGATCTGGAAGATGGAGGAAAGAGAAGAAGAACAATTGACAGATGTTCAACTGATCACCTGGTGAAAATAAAATTGCTAGTTGATAACCCTTTACATCTTCATTGCCAAGGCTCTTCAAACTTGGCAAGTTTAAGACTTGTGGACTTCAGCTCCCAGAATTCCTGAGCTAACATGACTGGAGGAGGAATTCTGGGAGTTGAAGTCCACAAGTCTTAAAAGTGTCAAGTTTGAAGACCCCTGTATCTTGGCGATGGGGCCAAGTGTCTCCTGAGACAGATAAAGAGCATAGAATTGTAGTCTAAAGTTATGTCATTATGTCAAGTAGTGACATTGGGTCTGTTCTTTCAAGGCTCTGAGTTGCACTCCTGTTGAAGTGAATGGATCTGAAGAAAGGACAGAGAAGGATATTAACAGGTAAAAAAAAGCAAAAATCCCTCAAGATGATATTCCTTAGGGCCACCCTTGCTCCTCCTGAGATAACCGCTTAGCGGAACTTGACTAATGACTATACATCCTGGAAATCTATTTACCTTCTTTCCCAGATTCCTTCGAGCAGCAAGTCTTCAAGATCTGGTCAGGGAAAGTATGACGACTTCCTTATGCACAGCCTCAGCAACAGAGGAGCAATGCAAATCAGTGGTGATTGACTTGAATGGGCCACAGCTTTGCTTCCACGGTGCAGGTAAGCTTACAGAAGGAGATGCTTCTAGTATCCGAGTACTGCTCAGTAACATTAGCACAAGGAATGTTGATAGACTGGTGTTTTTTTAGACCTCTCTACAAAGATAGTTGTTTAAGGCAGACAGTCTTATTTGAGTCTACCCTTACTGTAACCTTATTTGAGTCTACCCGTACTGTAACCTTCCTCTTGCATTAGTCTAATATACTCAAATATAGCAAATTGATTCCCTGATTCGGAAGGGTTATGATGGTGGAGCAATACAGAGATTTTGACTGGGTTATTTCATGTAAATTGCTTTGTTATTTGGTTCATTTAAAAAACCCCGGACCAAATCCAAAAGGCAGTCCCTTGGGAAAACAGAACCTTCCTTCCTTCCTTTCTTTCTTTCTTCCTTCCTTCCTTTCTTTCTTTCTTTCTTTCTTTCTTTCTTCCTCCCCCCCTCCCCCCTCCCTCTCTCTAACTCTCTCGAAAGAAAGAATTCCTTACGATCATTGTCACATTTTTCTTGGTCTATGGCAAGCTTCAAATTCCTTGTAATATTATGCTGGTGCAGCCTAAAGCTGCAATCTGGGGTCCCTTCAGAGCATGGGTGTCAAATTTGCTGCATCACATTGCTATCACGTGACGTTTCGTGACATTTTCCCCATTTGCGGAGCTGGGATGGGCGTGGCCTGTGCATGACGCATCCGGCCTGCAGGCTGCTAGTTTGACACCCGTGCTCCAGAGGCTTAGAACTTTCAAATCCAAGAATTGCCAGATAGCATCGGATCTAAAAGAATGGAAATGTGACACTTGTTGTCATGCCCCCAATGGAGACTGACTCTGAAGGAGAGGAGGAACAGCTGACGGAGTGGAAGTGTGGCTCTGGAGGTTGTGGAGGAGGCTGCGGAAGGGCAGAGGCTGGCTGGGCAGTCAGAGGAGGACCCAGGCCCATCCCCTCTCCATCCTAGGGCACGCAGGGAGGAGAGGATAAGGGAGAGATGTGGTCTACTTGGGAGGAGAGGGCCTTGATCCTCTTCATGGGCTGCAGCTGTGACAACTGGATAAGAGGACAGACATGCGTATTGGCGAGTGCTGGGAACAAAGCGTGGAAATATCTCTAGTTTATGGTTCCTTTCTTGAGTTTGGCACCCTTTCCAGTGTGTGTTCTGTTATCTATGGATGTCCTCCAGCCCTTATCTTGCCTGATTTGTGTTGTTTTTTATTCTTTATAATTTAAATGACATTTCCTCCTTCTTGTAACTGCTTGTGTGGGAGATTTTTGTTTCCAGTCCAGGATATTTGGAGCTTGGAAGCAAAGTGAAGGAATAAAAGGGGCTTCACATGTTTTTTGTGACTGTGTTTATTTTGTATCCCCATCCTGGGTCATCACCCGTGTTTAAGTCATCAGTTTGAACAAGGCTGGCCTAGAAAATCATATCCTTACTGCTGGCCTCCTAAAGTATTGATGGCATTTTATGCTAACTAGGCAATTAAGAAAAACTTTCGTGATCCAAGCTAGACGTTCATTGTTACTGAGTGTTTTGTTCACCCAAGGATTTCTACAAAACTCAGAAGCAACCCGTCTGTGCTGTTGCTCCTTAAAAATATATTCTTTACTATCATGTGTCATTCTTTACTTTATATATGTGGTATTTTCCAAAGGATAGGTTTGTTTGTTTTTTAAATTATGTGTCATCAAATTGTTCTCAACTCCTAGCGACCACATAATTTCCGCTATCCCTAACCTGGTATTTCATGGCTCCCAGCGGTGCACTCGTCGCCACTGTAACTGGGTTCATCCGTCTTATTTATTTGAGTTGTATCCCACCTTTATTATTTTTATAAATTAACTCAAGGCAGTAAACATACCTAATGATCCATCCTTCTTCTATTTTCCCCTCAACAATAACCCTGTGAGGTGGGTTGGGCTGAGAGACAGGGACTGGTCCAAAGTCACCCACCTGACTTTAATGGCTAAGGTGGGACTAGAATTCACAGTCTCCTAGTTTCTAGCCTGGTACTTGAATCATGTGACCGTATTGGCTTACAAACCTTGCTGCTCCTCCCCCTTTCTCTTTACTTCCACTTTTCCTGACATTAGAGCCTTTTCCAGAGAGTAGGGTCTTTCCATAATTTGCCTGGATAAGAGAGATCCTTTAAATGTTGACCCTTACTTATCCCCCATTGCGAGAATGACAGCCAAACAGCAGCATCCTGAGCATGTCCATTCTTGAAGCCTCAGGGAACCATTATAGTCTCTTCCTTTGTAAGTACATAAGGAGTGTCTGTGTCTTGTACAAAAACCTTTTTCAGGTACCTTTGAAGACATTCATACATTTTAATGTATTACCTGAAATAATAAGAAATTTCTTTTTCCAACAAATGTCTCAGGAACAAATAGATTCTGTGAAGATTGGACACAAGCATTTCTGAATGTTCCCGAAGGGGGCAATCCCTTCCTTTTTCGGCAAATGCTGGAAAACTTTAAATTGAAGGTAAATATCTGTGTTGGGCAAGAACAATGAGAACCGTAGCCCAAATGCATCGGCCAGGACACTTGGCTTGAGATGGCTGTTCTTTGTGATCTTTAGAAATAGTGGTAGATGAAACTTTTCCCATATTATAATTTCTTTGAGTCTCATGTGTTTCCCCACCCACCAAATCATAATCTATTTCAGACAAAAAACTGGGTGTAAATTAATCTCCAGTTGAAATCAATGGAAAAGTTTCTGTTCTACTACTACCACATCGCTGCAGGTTTGGATCTTCACGCTGAGACACAACAATTGTGGCTCAAGTATATTTGTTCTAAACCAGTGCAATCTGAGAATTGTGTTTTTGCCTGTATGATCTGATGCTGCCACAACTTACAGTCATGCATTGTAGGGACATAGAATATTTATTTGTTTGTTTGTTTGTTTATTCATTTAGCATATGGCATACAGGTAGTCCTCGACTTACAACAGTTCATTTAGTGAATGTTCAAAGTTACAGTGGTTTATGGCCATTTTTCACACTTATGACCATTGCGGCATCCCATTGGTCATTCAGTCAGAATTCAGATGCTTAGCAATTAGCTCGCATGTATGTGATTCCCTTTTGGGACTTTTTGGCGAGCAAAGTCCATGGAAAGCCAGATTCACTTAACAAGTGAACATAGGCAAGGCAGGTCGAAAAATGAGGCAAAATTCACTTAGCAACTGTCCCGCTTAGCATCAGGAATTTTGGGCTCAATTGCAGTTGTAAGTTGAGATCTATTTGTAGAGTACGTGGATAGCAGTAATAAAATTGTAGAGAAGGAACACATACTACTGTGGCACACGTACGATGGAAATCAATTTTGTAAGGCTTGAGGAATTTTAAAAAAAATGTTATAGATTACATTTTAAATATGTCGATTTATCTCAAGAGTCTTCAAACTCAGCAAGTTTAAGACTTGTGGACTTCAACTCCCAGACTTCCTGAGCTAACATGACTGGAGAAGGAATTCTGGGGGTTGAAGTCCACAAGTCTTAAAGCTGTCAACTTTGAAGACCCCTAATTTATCATAAGAGTAGAATAAGTGTTCTGCATATTAATATCTAGGCCATTTATCCAATTAAATATTTGTTAGTTGGAGAATGCCTGCTTTTCCTCCTGTATAAGCTCTCAAATGTATGCGCTCCAGAGAATCTGCAGTGCTATGTGCCCTTGCCAAGGTGGGCACTCCCTTTGAACATAAGGGGCCTCCTTGTGAGAGATGTGCCTTGAGTGCCAATTATTTTGGGAGCTACTAGATTAAAGATGCTAAGTTCTTCCTCCCAAATTTCTCATTTACAGCTCCTGATTCCTGTATACTAATATGTTGTGCGTGCAGGAGGTGCACGAGTTCATATTAGGCATCCAAAGAGCCACTGTATGTGTATAGCACATCTATTGGCAGTGTACCACAGCAGCCTGCCCCGATTGCCCTGCCCCGATTGGGGAAGTCATCCACCCTTCCCTTCTTGCCCAATGGACCATGTGCAACTGCCTTTTATCCTAGTGACACTGTCAAGGATGGGATTGTGTGAACCTTGGGTTTCTGTGTAGGCTTTCTCAGCTGGATCAGGACACTGGCATACATGTTGGCTGCTTTCTTTTCAGGCCATACAGGACATCAACAGCCTGAAGCGGTTCATCCGGCAGGCGGAAATGAGCCATTATGCCTTGTTCAAGTGCTACCTGTTTCTGAAAAACTCCGGCAGCGGCGATGTGCTCTTGAAGATTGTCAAAGTAGAATATGCCGAAATGCAGGAAGCTCGGAATGTCATCAGTGTGCTGGAAGAATTCATGAGGGACCAGCTTGGAGCTTAAATCCTCCTCCTGAACCAAGGGTGGCTTGTACAGTACCAAGTCAGCATGCCTCCATGTAGAATCACAGTTCTTGAGTATGTAGGCCATTTTTGTGTTGAATCATGTGAACTTACCGTGGAGGGCTGGACTCAGTCCCAGTTCCTCACAGTACACAAACGCGTGGTCCAAAAAGAAAACCCTTATCACAGCATCTTCTGTGAGGTTGAGTTAAATTGGTATTTGTTAGTATGGGAACAAGCTGAGTGTTCAGGCGCTCACCCTCCCTGCTTTCTCTTGTCTGTCTGCTTGTAAAACCACAGTTTTGTTTCCCTGCGGTATCCAAACTCTGGTTTTGGGCTTTCCTTATACCCTACAGTCAAAAGCAGGATCAATCCAGAGCTTGCAATCCCTACATGTTAGGCCACAATTTTCTATAAGAGCCAGCTACTATAGACGAAGAACAATGGGGTTGATCTAGACTTCCTGGAGGCAAAATAAGCATAAGGGCTTTGTCAGCATTATTAATTGTGTTGGAAGGGAGAGGTGCCAGTGTAGAAGTCCAAATGGTATATGAACAGATACATGTACGGATCTTGGCTAGCCAAAAGCAGCATAGATCCATGTTTGGATCAAACATATGGATTTTCTTCCATTCTGTCCTGCTGTTTTATACACACACACGCATACACACACTACACACACTTCTCCCCTGCAAACAAGCTATTTACCTCAATGCATGCATCCTCTCTCAGTCCGTCAGGGTGGCTAAACTTGGAGCCCCAAATAAATTACACATTGGTCAAATTAATTATTAGTTATTTATATTTATACTTGTAAAACTTGACCCCATTTTTAGAAGTTGTAGATAATGGAGTTTTGGTGAGGTATGCTTATACCAACCACTCACTTGGGGGGGTGGGGAGAAAGCTGAACAGTACATCTGAAATAAAATCTATGCACAAAATTGTTTGTGGAAAACTATACTTACGTACACGATAGAAAAATATTTTGACATTTCTTACATCATGCTGCTTTGCAAGCACACTCTTTGCTCGAATAGGAAAAGCGTGTTCTATTCAGCATATTTTAAGGCAGAATCACTTCATTTGGTGCTATAACAATAAGCCATGGAGGAAGATATTAACTGGGTAGGAAAATAAAGGTTCATCCTTCTTGCATTTGCTAATTCAGCGTACATTATGGGACAGCGGAAATTCAACACAGTGACTAATAATGAGTATTAAATTTGGCGAACATTAATGTATTTTTGCTACACAAATTCAACCTGTAATATTCTGTGAGCTCTGATTTGCATTCTGCTTGGAGATTTTGGAGAGGCTCAGAAAGCTTTCTTTAATGCAGAACTGTTGAGTAATTAGGATATTAAATGCATTCACCTTCAAGCAAGGTTGGCTTTGTTCCTGTTTCTGTTCACTGCTACCCTGAAAGATTGAATGTATATCATTTTCATCACCATATTTCATAACTTGTTCTGAACACAGGAAAGGTGGTTGGTAGTAAAGCAGTGATAAGGGTTGGACTTGAATTTTGCGGTAGAGTAGGTGCGTGGGGAGGGGGAGGTTGGATGACAAACCCAATTCTGATTCAGGGGCCAGTTCAGTAGCATGAGGAAGAAACTTCCCGAAGTCCTAAGGATTCTGAATTGAGATAAAGTATCATTTAACAAGACCATAATTCGAGATTATTAAACTGAACCTTCAACCTTAAAATGCTTGCCATTTACTGTAAATATTTGTAGAGTGTAATCATTTTTTAAAAATGCAGATGTGAACTAACCAGGAAACAATGCATCTAACCTGGCAATAAATTCCTATGTGCTGTGAAAAATGTGAGGAGATACACAGAGGTCAAAATTTGAAAGGAACAGTTACTAGTCAGGAAAGTTCACAAGAATTGGGAGAAAAGAAAGAAACAAGCAACGGGAGACGGGGGGGGCGGGGCGGCGTGTGGATTGGGTGTTCTTTTTAAATAGAAGTTCGATACAGGTAGTCCTCGGCTTACAACCACAATTGGGACCAGAATTTCTTATCGTTAAGCAAGCCACACCCAATTTGATGACCTTTTTTTTTTTTTTTTGGCCACGGTCACCAAGTGAATCATGCTGCCGTTAAGCAAATCTGGCTTCTCCAATTGATTTTCTGTCAAAAACCAACTGGGAAGGCAGCAAATGGAGATGACATGACCCTGGCAACTATGTATCATAAATAACGAGCACCTGAATTTTCTCTCACGTGAGCATGGGGGAATGCTGTGACTGTCATAAGTGCAAAAGGGCCGGTCGTAAGTCACTTTTTCGTTGTAACTTCAAGTAGCTGCTAAATGAATGGTTGTAAGTTGAGGATTACTTGCATTGCTGATGGGAGAACATGGTTGCAGGAGAATATGACTGGAATGTCGGGTGAACGTGATGATGGTGATTGCACGATTAATGCTTTATACGGGAGCATTCGAAAGAATGGGCATGAGGAAATCACTACAACATTCCTCTCAACATACCTTCAATGTCTTTTGAATTAAAACATTATAGGGGTATTAATACCGCTCCAGGATTACATTAGTCATCTATACAAAATCAGGAAACGACACCCAGAGCGCTCTGCCCCCCCCCCCCCCCAATGTGTGCAACACCTGTAAATTCTCAGCCAGCAGGACCAAGAACTACTATTCCTAAGGAGAATTGTAGTTTGGCACATCTGGAGGGACTCTGATGAAGAAGATATTAGAAAGCAATCCACTGTGAAACCAGAGTATCCAATAGGCCCAGTATTCAGAAAACCCTGAGTTTTGTTAACACTGGCACAGGCTTCTTATTCTATTTTGCTCACCTTTGCAAGTTGGTTAATGGGGGAAGATTCATTCTGTTGTTCTGTAATGCATTCAAAAGTATGTATCATTTCACTAGGAGACTATAAATGACCACTCCAGTTAAATTTAATTTGACAAATTAGTTTTCTTTATCTGCCCTGGCAGGACTTTATAGCATTCCTTTGAATATTATGTACTATTGGATGGTAACTTTTTTTTCCCATGCACATTTAAACACTCACTTTTTTCCCTTGCATGTGAGCAATTCACATTGAAAGGCTAATCTAAATCATACTAAAGAAGTAGGAAACCAGATACTTGGGAGTAGAGTTCCTGTTGACTATGCTTTTGGGGCTGGGAATCCAACATCTGAAGAATAACTGGTTTCTCCACCTAATTTAAACAGTGCTTCATAGATCAGAACCAAAACATATTTGGGGATCCTGGTTTGTTTGCCTTCGGCCAGCTGGTTTGTTAAAAAAATATTGCACCTTTCTGGTTGGAATGTTTCGCAATTATTTGAGGAACCAGCATTTGTTCATATAGCAAAAACCATTGATTTCTGACCAGAATCCGTTCTAGTCTGTTTCCAATACTAAACACACATCTAGGACTCACTGGTCATCACATCTGTATCCCAAAAGGGCACCAAATTATAACTTACAGAGAAGGCAGCTGCGTAATCTTTTCCTGCCTTCCTTTAGTAAGAAACAAAACTGAATACCCAGTTTCATTTTCTTTGATTGATTAAAAAGCAGGCTGAACCGAAACACTGGATGGGAAGAACATGTAGAGTATATAGACAAAGGATTAAGCTCTCTCATCCATACCTTTCCTCTGGCAAATTGTAAGCCAGCTATCAAAAGCTTTTCAAGCCTGGCAACATTTTCCCTTTTTGAGATGTTCAGTTCAAAAGACACCCAGAAGTTATAGCAGATCTCAAAATATATTTTTAAAAAAATCATATGAAAGTTTCTACCAACCCCACCCCCCAAGCCCCTTCATATACAGATATCTTTCTGCCTAAGATAATTAAAAAAAACACACACCACAATACTAAACGATACTAATGTTCACTCCCTTGGAGAGGTGGCATCAATTTAAGAGCAGGCTGTGTCCGTGAAACATCAGTTTGAAAAATGGTGAATGCAGCTCTTTGAAAGAGCAACTTATCTACACATCACCTTGGCCAGATGATATGGCGTGGGCTCAAGCTAAGCAATGTTCCCTTTTCGTGAGCTTCCCTGTTCCTGTTCAGTTGCTTTTAAAACTATGATTCTTCATTATGAAAGAAAAGAGCTTGTCTGATTTTGCACTTTCTGCTTCTCAGCCGATCATGCAAAACTTAGCTGAAGAGGCAACTACATCCCCGCTGGTATTTTTAATCTCCCTTTTTGATACCAATATAACGGTTTTAAATGTGTATGTCGGGGAAGTTATCAGAGAACCTGACCAGAGCAGAAAAAGTACTGTGAAAATGCTAAGAAGGAGTACAGGATGCAAAAACCATCTGTGCCAGACTAATTCCGCGAACTAGCCAGAATATTTGGACCTAAGAGAAATATTCCACTCACCGAAACAACAATACTCCAGAATAATTTGGTATTAAATGCAAGTTTAACTCCAAAGTCCTTCCATCCTGTGATACTGGAAGAGTTAAATAGTACATTTGTCTCAGAATAGGTGGGTGAGTGGAAGGAAGGCTTAAAAGTGGCATTTATATATTATATTGAGGCATTTATATATTATATTGAGAATCTTTATACTACGTATCCTCTGATGTGGGAGAAACCAATGTTGTCCCTGGTTCATGATGGAGTGCCTATTGTAAGGTAAGGAATGTGTTAATGGTCAGAAAACAGATTTCCTCTCTAATCATTGCTTCTATCAATCCAAACCTGGATTATATTGGGATTTGCATTTGCTGTCATATTAAGGGCTGCTTTCTTATAAAGACAAAGAGGTAAGATTTAGAATAGAATAGAATAGAATAGAATAGAATAGAATAGAATAGAATA